TTGCATATGTTGAAATATCCTTGTATCCCAGGGATAAAATCCCACTTGATCATCGTGTATAATCCTTTTAATGTGTTCCTGAATTCGGTCTGCTAATATTTTCTTGAGAATATCTGCATCTAAATTCATCAGGGATATTGGTCTATAGTTTTCTTTCTTGTGGTCTCCTTCTCTGATTTTGGTAGCAAAGTAATGCTGGTCTCACAGAATGAGTTTGAAAGTGTTTCTCCTTCTTGATATTTTGAACAAGTTTGGGGGAAGATTGGTGTTAATTCTTCTTTAAACGTTTGGAAGCCATCTGGTCCTGAGGTTTTTTGTGTTGGGAGTTTTTTGATTACTGATTCAATCTCTTTACTCAGACTTGGTCTGTTCAGATTTTCTACTTCTTCCTGTCTCAGTCTTGATAGGTTGCGTGTTTCTAGAAATGGAGTCATTTCTTTTAGTTTATGTAATTTCTTGACATATAATTGTTCATAGTAGTCTCATAATTCTAGGTATTTCTGTAGTATCAGTTGTAATATCTCCTCTTTCATGTTTATTTCTTTGAGCCTTCTCTTTTTTTTCTGTAGTTAGTCTAGTTAGTCTAGCTAAAGGCTTAAATTTTGTTTCTCTTTTCAAAGAACCAGCTCTTGGTTTTGTTGATCCTTTCTATTGATTTTTTGGTCTCTATTTCATTTATTTCTGCTCTGATACTTGTTTTCTTCCTTTTGCTAACTTCAGGCTTACTTTGTTTTTCTTTTTTTGGTTCCTTGAGGTGTAAAGTTAGGTTATTTAAGATCTTTCTCATTTCTCAGTATATGTGTTTATAGTTATAAACTTCCTTCTTGGATCTGCTTTTATGCATCCCATAATATTTGATATGTTGTGTTTTCAAGACAATTTTTTATTTCCTTTTTGATTTCTCCTTTGACCCAAAAGGTGTTTAGAAGTGTGTTTAGTTTCACATATTTGTAGATCTTTTTACTTTCCTCTTGTTGATTTCTAGTTTCATATGATTGTGGTCAGAGAAGATAGTTGGTATGATTTCAACTTTCTTAAATTTGCTAAGATTTGTTTTTGTGGCCTAACATGTGATTTATCCTGGAGAATGTTCCAAGTGCACTTGAGAAGAATGTGTATTCTGCTGCTGTTGGGTGTAATGTTCTGCTAAGTCCATTTATTCTAAAGCCAAGTTCAACAGCAACAATTTCTTGTTGACTTTCTGTCTGGGTGATTTATCCATTGCTGATGGTGGGGTATTAGAGTCCCCTACAATTACTGTATTATTGTCTATTTCTCCCAAATTGCTTAGTATGTTTTGAAGTTCCAGTGTTGGTAGCAAGCATGTATATTTATGATTGCTCTATCTTCTTGATATAGTGGCCCTCTTGTCATTATATAATGACCTTCTTTGTCTCTTGTGACCCTTTTTGGCTTGAGGTCTATTCTGTCTGATATAAGTATGATTACGCTTGCCTTCTTTTCATTTCTGTTTGCTTGGAATATCATCTTGCATTCCTTCACTTTGAACCTGTATGTGTCTCTAGAGCTAAAGTGAGTCCCCTGTAGGCAGCATATTTGCTTTTTTATCCATCCAGCCACTCTGTGCCTTTTGATTGGTGAGTTCAATCCATTTTCGCTGAGGGTGATTACTAACATGTAAGCACTTACTACTGGCTTTTTTATCTTCTGCCTTCTGGTTATTTTGTCTTTCCATGTTTCTTTTTCTTTGTTTCCATTGACTTTTGCCAGTTGGTGGTTTTCCAGGATGGGATTTGCTCGTTCTCCCCCCATTTATGTTTATGTCTCTGCTCTAGATTTTTGCCATGTAGTTACCATGAGGTTTACATAAAGCATCTCATAGAAAAAAAGTCTTTTCTATGCTGATAGCACTTTACTTTTCTTCACTTATCATTCTTTTACTCCTCTCCTCTTATATTTTTGATGTCACAAATTACCTCTTTGTATGCTATGATTTCATCACCAAGTTTATAGTAGGCATAGTTATTTTAATGCTCTTTTCCTTTAACATTTAGGATATAGTTAAGTTTAATATACTATTCCAAAAAAGAGTTAAAAGAGTTACGATATTCTAATTCCGACTGCTTGTTTATCACCTTAATCAGAATTTTGTGTACTTTCATTTTTTTGTTTGTTTGTTTCTTTGTTTCAGCTTAAAGAGCTCCTTTCAACATTTCTTGTAAGGCAGGTCTAGTGGTGGTGAACTCCCTCAGCTTTTGTTTTTCTGGGAAAGTCTTTATTTCTTTTTCACATCTGAAAGGTAACTTTGCCAGAGAGTATTCTTGGCTGCCAGCCTACATTTTTATTGTTCCTTCACCCTTTTACTGATTTCCTCCTGAAAGATGTATTTCATGTAACTGAGGAAATAAATAATGAACAACCCCAAACTGTGAACCAAATAAATAAGTGAATTGCTTAAAGAAACAGCACTTGATTGCTAACACAAGAAGAACTGAAATAGGGCCTCTGATTTTTTACTGCAGGATCTATTTAGCCATGTATCATTGTTCTGTTCACTTTCTACTTCTCTGAAAAGTAGAAGTTACTTCTAACATTGCTGCTAAATGATGATGTATATATATTTTTTTACATGTTACCAACCATTTATACTTTGGGAGCATGTGAATTTTTCCTTTCATTTGGATGTCTAGCAGTGTGTAGACTAAAAGTTAAGTCTGTAGCATATTAACACACTGATATTTGATAAAGTCTATTTGTTTATTCAAGTTGAATTCACTCCTGAAAAATTTCTCCAGGACAATGTAAAAGATAAGTAGCTAGGCTGACTTTTAATTTTTTTTTCATAAATTTTTTTCATTCTTTTTTTTTAATTAATGAAAAGGAAGTTTAATATGTACAAATAAAACAGAAAAAAATTTTCTTACAGACTGGTTAGAGGTAATGTTATTCAGAAGTTGTCTTTCAAACCTGAAAGACCTAGCTTGCTTTCTTATTTTTTTTACACTATCAAAAAAGAATGTTTTGCCACAAATGAATAATGGACAGAGACATGTCATTGGCATGTTTACAATTAGGAAATATGTAAAACCCACTTACACTTGATAAAAAAAAAGTTAAAGGTGATTAGAATATTTACTTTAAAGTAAGGCAAGAGCTAATACAGTTACAGCTGAGATTTTAATTGTCATACTTTCAGATTTATGAGTGGGGCAATTAAATGCTTAAAACAGTCTGTTGTTTTCATTTGGTAAGACTATGAAAAAAAGAAAAAGTGTGGCTATATGTGGCTATGTTGTTATATTTCAGCACAAATTATGAAGTTGTGCCCCCACTCACAGCAATAAAACACACCAAAACAAACAAAAAGCAAACCAAATAGACTTCCTCAGCTGATACAAACTTCAGTGTCTTTTCTCAGGGGTTTTCCATTTTTTTTTTTGTTCTTAAGAATTTAATTATAACTTGGATGTTTGAACTATTTCTTCTGTCTCTGATGACTTTTCATTAGAATGCCTGACAGCAGTGTCAGCTCTGACGTATTGTAAGTCCAATAAAAGAACCGTTCTTTGACTAACAACTGAAATGGGAGATTAATAACCCGAATGCAAAATTTCAGGTGAGTTTTTCATTCTTTATCATTCTTTTAGTTTTCTCTAACTTTTGCATTTCCAAGATATTTTAGATTCTCCATGCTAACTCCCTCCCCCCTGGCCACAAAGGAGCTTAATTTTGTTCCTGGGACTTCATGGAATGAAGGTTTTGTCAATCCTAAAAAATCATCATCTCATACTAACATAAGTCCATTAACTTGACCTTATTCTCCTTCTCAATAATGGAAAAATCAGGCAAAACCTATCTATTATGTTTCAAAATCTTCCCCAAGTGAGGTTGACATCTAAAATGAAATCTCAAACAAAATACACAATAAACAGGAGGAAAATAAAAAGGAGGGATAGAAAACATGTAAAAGTATATGGGTAAAAACCTATGAATATTCAAGGGGTGTACCATATTTTAAAGTAAAAGTGTTTTAAAGTCTCCTGCAGCTTAAAATGCTTTTTGACTGTCATTATGGGAGACCACTTTCTGGGAGAAACATGCTTTCACAATCCTACAGCCATTTGCATAAGGAAGCTGCACATTATGCATATGTGGGGTTGGCAACATGAAAAATATTCAAGCAAGACAGAGCACGCTTAATCATTTAACCTCAGTAAATGGTTATTTTGAAATTGTAATTTTCCAAATTAAAAAGGTCTCAAGTTGTACTCCCAGAAAGTGTACTTTGAAAACTTTTCCTGGATTAAATGAGTTATTCAAAACACAAGCACCCAAATCTCTGCATTCCCAGCAAGAAAGCAAAAGCAGGAAACATTTGGGGCATAGCCACGCATTTATGCATGTAACTATTGAGGGGCATACATTCTGCCCCTACATTTATTTCAAGTTTTTTTTTGCCCCAAACAGTGATAAATTATTGAAAAATCCCTTCATTTTTAAAATGCTTTCTTCCTCATACAGAGGAATGGATTGACTGAGAACATACACATTCTGAGTTTCCTTCTCCTTGAGGTTGAAAGCATATGAAAGTTTAGCATTTAATGAAGACTGGCATGAATACAACAAAATGACGTCTCCCCCAAGGAAAATCTTGCCAGGCTTGCTCAGGGTCAGTATGTCCTTCAGGGACACCTGCGAACTAATAATTTTCAAGACATATTTTTTTCGGAATAATTTTTATTATTTATTTTAATTTTCAAATATCTTACAAGTTGACAGCACCCTGATCTTCATTCTAAAGTCGTTCCCGTGCCTATTAAGGGGAAGCACTGAGGAACTTTTGCAGGGTGAGACCCTAAGCCCTTCAAACGGACCCATGCATCACGGGTAAGGTGCAAATGCACACCGAGGAGTTCTGAATGGTGAGCGACCTGAGGTGAACTGAGAGCATGTCAGGGCCCAGGCTGGTTTCTCGTGGTCCCCCGTTTGTGCCTGGCCCCGGAGGCTGGGTTCTAAGACGCCGTTATGCACTCACTGACCTTTTGGTGCTTGTGCTGGAGATAGGCAGGTAGTCCGTGACAGCGATGTATACGTATTGTTTGGCATCATCTATCACACTATAGATAGCGTCGATATCGAAGCTTCTGTTTTTAGGGCAAAAGAGTTTGGGAGAATTCTGTGAAGACACAAAAACCAAACTTTCAGAGGATTAATTTTTGTCAGCTGGGCCTTTCTCTTTTTTGTTGCCTTTTTTTTTTTTAAGGTGTTTTAATGGATCTTGGCTTGTAAGTCAAGTTTTGCACATCACCTTTCCAGTTCTTGATGAGATCAGACAAGTTATGTATGCGATCCTAGCATAGTTGAGGCATGTTCAGATGAAGGTGTGGCAGGATGGGTCTCCAGGCTGTCCCCTTACGTCTGCTTTGGGAGGGAATTCTTGCTTTCAATACCCACACCTCTCATTTTGGGAGGAGCACTGTAGCTCTAAACTTAGGGGACTCTGGCGAATGCCCTGTCATGCAGAGCTGCTAATTTTCTCAGGCAGTACTGTATAATATATACAATACACATACTGCAACCAATTTACTCAAAAAGTCATTTCATTAGAAAGGTGATATGGCCATGGAAATATTGTCTTCCCCTGACAGGCATAACGCAGTGACAAGTGGAGTGGGACCCATAATCCGAGGGGTGCTTTATACCGAAAGTCTGAATACATGGTTTCTGGAACTGCCTGCCATGGCAGTATTGGGTCCCTCATCCAAAACTCAGGAACTCCCTGCACTGCGCTGCTGGGCAGCCCCATCCCCGCTTAGACAGAGGGATGACTAAGCGGTTGTTCTGGATGCCCAACCGAGATGGCTGTGGAGTGTGGGGGGCAGGAAAGGAGCCTGGTCAAGGCCACACACCCTCCAGGCATCCCTGCTCAGAAAGTCACCTCAGCAGCTGACTATCAGATTGAGTTTTTGATCAATTAAATTATTTTTCTTTTGGAATGATGAGCTTCCAAGTCTTTTAAAAAGACTAATACCAAAAAAAACAAAAACAAAACAAAACAAAAACCCTCATGAAAAACATAAAAGAACAGAAACAAGTGAAAAATAACAAAAAAAACCCACACAAAAGTAATAAAAAATAAAACAGTCGAAACTAAGTGCTGTCCTCCACCCTTTCCCCAGCACATGCATCTCGGATACTCCACCTGTCCCCGGGACAGGTGCTCCTGCTTCTACAGCATCTCCTGGGTCTCCCTCTCCCTCCTGACTGCCGTTCCTCCCATCCAGACCCTAGTGCTCTTGCTGGGGCTTTTACACATCATTTCCTTGTCACCATGATGTAAACACACACACACACACACACACACACGTCAGGCCCAGCATTCCTGGTGTCTGGGAATCCAGCCTGAACTCGTTGGAGGGATGTATCTATGGCCTCCTGCCTCCCTCCTGGACTGGCCACTACACCCTCCATGCCCCAAAGGGAAGAAGTAATGGCCTTGCTCCCATCTGTCTGCCCTGTGCGTTTGCTCCTGCCAGCATTTCTGGCCCATGTTTCCCTATTCTTGCCCATCAGAGTCCTATGCTTTTTCTAAGTTCCAGCTCAAGGGCAAGCCCCTCTGTGAAACCTCTTTATTTCCCCACCCAGAGGCTCCTTCTCCCTTCTCTGTCTCCTCCCATAATATGATTTGTCTGTGATATTATTTAGCCTATTCAACGGATAATTACTTGCACTTGCTGGAATTTAGGGGTGGTATTCACTCATTTTTCTATTTCCATCAATACATTCAGTATTGAAATTACTTAATTTCAGCTCAGCCTGTTGGGTCTGCTTTAAATATTAGCTCCAGACGAGACCCTCAGCCAGCCCTGACACATGGCCCAATGCCCATGTTTTTGTTTCAGGAGTTTCCTGGACTTCCTTGTGTGTTCCCAAAACTAGTTTTGGTTTCAGGGAGGAACAAATTGAGGCATAGAGTCATCGGTCTCATCACGTTTGCACTTATCCTGCAAGTCTGGACATTGCGCCTTTTGGTGATTCAGGCCAGGCTCCGGCATTTAGAGCCTACAGCGTCTCAGCTGTGTCCCTTCTGCTTGCTGAGCCTCATGCCCTAAGGGAGTGGGGGGGTTAATAACAGAACACACCTCTCACATTGTCTGGGCTCAGAGCCTCTCTTCTGTGCTTGCCCTCATTCATTCAGCAAATACTACTAAGTGCCTGCCATGCTCCAGCTCTAGTCTAGCCACTCGGCATATGTCAGTGGCCCAAATAAGACGCTTGCTTCACAGTGCTTCATTCGAGCACCCATTGCATGCTGTTGCCTTCATCTGTCTGGGTGCTTCGGCACTAGCTTGTGCACCGTTGGGTTTCATATTTCCAGCACCTCGTTATCTCCGTGCCACTCCTAGCACGTGTTATAGATCAGTATCAGTGGACCGAGCATGAGAGTGCTTCTTAAATTAGTCAGCGTCACAGGTCTGAGTGACTCCCCCAACCTCCACCCCCAGTGGACTTGGTTCACGATAGGTATTTCCATCCACATGGGAATGGCTCTTTATTTGCACTTGCCAGGTCGCATTGTTTCCCATGGTCCCATTGCCGAACCTGATGCCTAGAGCATGGCAGGTGCTCCGTGTGTTTATTAGGGAAATGCAGGACTAGTTGTGTCAGTTCCCCAGCCCCGGGGGTATGGTGGTGCTTGATGGTGTGTTTAGAGTCTGCTACCTTTGAAAATAGTATCTGGATATACTAATGGCTTCAAAACGTTTGCTTAAAGTGTAAGTGAATGAACACCACCACAAAGAATGATCTACTGATCAGGCAGAGGAAATTAACTAGTTCCAATAGTTTAATTAGAGAGAAGGCTGTTCAGTTTCCCTCTTATTGGTCCTGAATTAATTTTCTGAGCCTTGCACTGTGCACTCCTTTATTATGGGAAAGAGCAGGAAGACAGATCCTTCTCTTTGTTTCGGCTCTGTGATGACCTTTCACCACTCAAGTGATCTCCTGCACCTGCTTCTAGGCAGTATGTTTCTCTCTTAGATCAATCAGTGCCTTATACATGCACAAAACTTGTTTTGTATATTCATTAAATACTTGCCTTAGCAGGCTTCTGATTTATTTCACAACAGTTCCCTGGTTTGTAAAAAGGCCATACTCCATCCCAAGAATATATAAGTTAAAATATATTAAACAAAAAAGCTGGCCCACGGAATGGGAGAAAATATTTGCAAATTGTGTATCTGATAAAGGACATATGCAGAATGTATAAGAACTCTTACAACTCAATAATAAAAGTCCAAGTAAACTAATTTGAAAAGTGGGCAAAGAATTGAATAGACATGTCTCAAAAAAGATAAACAACTGGCCAATGAACACATTAAAATATACAAATAAAAACCACAGTGACATACCATTTCACACCCACACACCCACCAGGAGGGGTGAAATAAAATAGAAAATAACAAGCATTTTGGCAAAGATGTGGAGAAACTGGAGCTGTCATTTATTGCTGTTGGAACTGTAAAATGAGACAGCCAGTTTGGAGAACGGTTTGTCAGTCTCTCAAAATGTTCAGCACAGAGTTATCATATCACCCAACAGTGCTGCTCCTGAGTATACACCCCAAAGCACTGGAAACAGGTATTCAAATAAAACCTTGTATGTGAAGGTTCAAAGCAGCATTCTTCACAGGAGCCAGAAGATAGAAACACCCAAATGTTCATCAACTGATGGACGAATAAACCAAATGTGATGTATCCATACAGTGGAATATCATTTGACCATAAAAAAGGAATGACATACTGATTCATGCTGTAACATTAATGGACTTTGAGAACATTATACTAAGTGAAAGGAGTCAATTACAAAAGATGACATACTGTTGGGGCGCCTGGATGGCTCAGTTGGTTAAGCGTCTGACTCTTGATTTTGGCTCAGGTCATAATCTCAGGGTCATGAGATCGAGCCCCATGTCAGGCTCCTTGCTCAGTGGGGAGTCTGCTTGAGATTCTCTCTCTCCCTCTCCCTCTGCTCCCTCCTGTGCTCTCTCTCAAACAAATAAGTAAATCTTAAAAAAAAAGACTACATACTGTCTTATTCCATTTATATGAAATGCTAGAGAAAGGAGAACCCTAAGAGACAGACAGGAGACGAGTGGTTGCCAGGGGCTGGGGGAAGGGGAATATGGAGAGTGACCCTTAATGGGTGTGGTGTTTTCTTTGTGGTGATGACAATATTCTAAATTAGATGGTGGAGATAGTTGCACAGCTCTGACTACACCAAAACCCACTGAATCATATACTTTGGAAAGATGAATTTCATGGAATGTAAAGTCTCTCTCAATAAAGCTATTAAAAAGTAATTAAAAATGCGTAGGGGACTATAACAGCACCACAATCTACTTAATGTCTGCACTCACTCACTAAATGCATCTTAATACACATGACTGGATGGGTGGAAGACACAGTAACGAGAAATGAGATCTGTCTAGCAGCCAGATCAATAAGAACAGACCTCGAGGGACACCCGGGTAGCTCCATCGGTTAAGCGTCTGCCTTTGGCTCAGGTCATGATCCCAGGGTCCTGGGATCGAGTCCCAAGTAGGGCTCCCTGCTCCGTGGGGAGCCTGCTTCTCCCTCTGCCCCCTGCTCATGCCCTCTCTTGCTAGCTCTCTCAAATAAATAAATAAAATCTTAAAAAAAAAAAAAAAAAGAACAGACCTTGAACCAACTAGTCTTGATCTTGGAAAGCAAATTTATAATCTCCAGGGCTCTAAAAAGAAATCTACAAGATAAGACAAAAACTCAGCCAACTATGGTTCCTGTTTCTGATTTCAATGGGAAATGTTAAGAAAATCGAAACTATGTGGCCCCAAGTGATTAGAGATCACAGACTTAAATCTCACCAAGCGTCTCTTTGTGTTCCATGAGAAAACTAGAAATAATCCATGTTTATATCATAACTTAAAATTTATATTTAACCATGCTAAGTTATTAATCATCCAAAATCTAATTTGGGGAATGGTAATTCTTAAGGTCTTCAATAATATTTTTGCGTGCATGTGTTCATTTAGTCTTGGGACTGTGAATTTATAAAAATATACTATTTTAAGATATTTTACAACAAATACTTTGAATTTAAATAAATCTGTCTTGACATTTGTTTGGCATGTATTACTCAGAAAATTATATGCATCCTAGAACTTCTTATTAAAATTACTACTAATAAAACCAATCCCACATTTATTGCTGCTCTTAGGGAGCTGTGAGTAACATGCTGGGAATGCCAGTGATGAAGATGGTCCAGTATATGGCCTTTGGAAGCTTTTAAATAGTGGGAGAGATGATCAATAAACAGTTATGAGAATGTGATAAATGCTACAACAGGGGTGAGATCAAGGAGCTTTGGGCAAACGATACCAATTCCAATGGCAGGGGGTCTGACTTTATTTTATACCTGCAAGATTTTTTTTTTTTAAGATTTTATTTATTTATTTGACAGAGAGAGACACAGTGAGAGAGGGAACACAAGCAGGGGGAGTGGGAGAGGGACAGCAGGCCTCCCACCAAGCAGGGAGCCCGATGCCGGGCTCGGTCCCAGGACCCTGGGATCATGACCTGAGCCGAAGGCAGGCGCTTAACGACTGAGCCACCCAGGCGCCCCTATACCTGCAAGATTTTATACCTCTGCAAAAATGGTATTCAATTAATATCTGTTGAATTGAAATTCAAAAGTAGGCTTGATATTAATAGGAAGTAGAAAATAAAATAATAGGTTAAAATAATATAATAAACAAAAATAGAAAGCATAGACATTATATAGTTTAAAAGACTATACCTGGAGGCATGTTTCAAAACTCTACTTATTTTGTGGCAAATCGTTTAATAAAAAGAAATTTGTAAATCTGCCCTAGAATACAAAGACCTGCGTTTTAGTAGGTTTTATTAAAGGACTGGCCTTCTCTCTGGGGCAGGTATGCTAATTTTGGGATCAACAAAAGGGACTCCCCCAGCTTTTTAAGCGTCAGAATGTAAATGTACGCAAAACCCACATTCATCTATCTCTAAGATTCAAACCATAAATTCAAAATCCGGCAATTGTCTGAAATCTGCTGATAATTCATCTATTCTTTGCTGCTTTCAATCTGTTTTACTGGAGCTGGTTGAGTAAGTGTCCTTGGGGTGTCATGTCACCCTGTTACCTTCTGGATTAAGGGTTCCTTGGCAAATTTCTTTCTTTTTTTCTTTTTTTAATTTTTTTTCTTTTTTTTTTTAGTAATTTTTTTTTTTTCTTTTTAAGATTTTATTTATTTATCTGAGAGAGAATGGGAGACAGAAAGCATGAGAGGGGGAGGATCAGAGGGAGAAGCAGACTCCCTGCCGAGCAGGGAGCCTGATGCGGGACTCGATCCCGGGACTCCAGGATCATGACCTGAGCCGAAGGCAGTTGCTTAACCAACTGAGCCACCCAGGCGCCCTCTTTTTTTAATTTTATTATGTTATGTTAATCACCATACATTACATCATTAGTTTTTGATGTAGTGTTCCATGATTCATTGTTTGTGCATAACACCCAGTGCTCCATGCAGAACGTGCCCTCTTTAATACCCATCACCAGGCTAACCCATCCTCCCACCCCCTCCCCTCTAGGACCCTGTTTGGCAAATTTCTTATGGCTACTCACTACAAATTCAGAATAACAGCTGGCCTTCTTGTCTTATAGGGTTGTCTTGAGAGGAAATGAAATTGAACACATGAAATAATTCTGCTCGGAAAATGCCCTATACAATATGCTCCTTGTTGTTGCACTGTGGGCCTCCTGAGTATTAAAGAAAAAAAAAAAAATTTTGTTTTAGCTTGGTTTGAAGAAAATCTTTCAGTCTGTGTTCTGCTATTCACATTTATATGAATTTGTTAAGACAAACACCTTAAGACAAAAAACATCCTCTTTTGTCTCAATTGCTACATGTCTAAATTTTCAGATTGTGTTTTCATTTTAATTAGCAAAAAGGAGAGAACTCCCTTTTCAGTGAGAAGCTCTTAGGCAATATTAAAGTTGCCAGAGACAAACCCTGAGAGACGATGGACTCTGAGGAACAAACCGAGGTTTCTAGAGGGGAGGGGGGTGGGGGGATGGGTTAGCCTGGTGATGGGTATTAAAGAGGGCACGCTCTACATGGGGCACTGAGTGTTATGCACAAACAATGAATCATGGAACACTACATCTAAAACTAATGATGTAATGTATGGGGATTAACATAACATAATAAAATAAAAAGTTGCTGGTATAAAAGCACTGTTGTCAGTGGAGGATCGGCATGTTGAATTGGGAGCACGGTTTTAAGAAGTTTATCTGAGCACTAGGATCAATTTAGAAGCCTGCTTCAAAACAAAATTCTAAGGTCTCACCCCAATCCTGTGGCTCAGATCCTGGGTAAGGGTGGGGGCTCTAAATCTGCATTTTAAACAGGCTCCCCAATCAATTCTTAATTAAAGTGTGGGGACCAGGGCCATAGGCACAGATATTCACATTGCCCATTCCCAGTGACATTGTGGGACAGCTGTGGTGTGTGGGCAGCCGGGGGTGGGTGCGGGGCAATGGGCGGTGGTTTTCAGTGTAGACAGGGGCCTGAGGCTGTGCTCTGCCCTCAGCCTCAGTGAGGTACAAACAGCTTTCCTTTTATCTGTTTTTGCACACTGGGGTTCCCTCAGATTTGTTTCGTCAAAGGAGGATTCCATTGCTAAAAAACAAGCCTGAGAATCACTGAGGTAGGGCATCGAAAATAGGACCCGGTGTCAGGAGACCTGGGAGCTGGTGCCTCTCTTGTCACCTGCCATCTGAGGGTCTTTGTGCTGGAAGATAAGCCTCAATACCTTCGTGTGTGACAGGCTCACAAAGCTGGGTCTACCTTAACAGAGGACAGTGGCGATCAAAACAGGTAACGCAAAGTATCAGGAGTTGGAATGAGTATTAACGTTCTTTATTGTTCTCATCACTGGGGACAGCATATGGTTGGGCCTAAGAGCGGGTGTATCTTACCTCTTCAAGGGATGGGACAGAACTGATCTTTAGAATTCAGGTTTGCCCAGCACCAGATCACACTCAAACATTCCAACTTGGGAGGAAGGAGGAGCAAGAGGGCAAGGACTCACCGACACAAAGGCTTGAGATTTGGTTTCGTTCAACTGAAGCTGCAATTTCTTCTCGTTGTCATAGACACCATAGAGCCTCTTGGACCAGGTCTGAGGCACTCTGTTCTTGAATTTTAATGAGCTGTACAGAGCGAATATCCTTTGTAAGTCCAGGACCAGGCAGCTGCAGTTGTAGAAGATGACACCGAGCTCTTTCATCTGTGGAATTAAAATAGAAAGCATCGATGTGTATACAACTGATGATACTATTTTCAGAGGGAAAAGATGCACAAGAATGCAGTCGTGGTGACTTCTTCTCTTGCAGCTGTTATTCAGAAGTGTGTAGATATAGTCACAGCATGGGATATAGAAGTGATGCAGTAGAAAGTGCTTCAATATTTAAGGAGAACTTTGGCTTGCAATTTTGCATTTGGGATCTTTTCCATATTCACCTCCATTTTTCTTTTCTTTTTTTTAGATTTTACTTATTTCAGAGAGAGAGAGAGAGAGAGCAAGCACAAGCATGAGCAGGGTGAAGGGCAGAGGGAGAAGCAAACTCCCCACGGAGAGCAGGGAGCCCTATGGGGGTCTCGATCCCAGGACCCTGGGATCATGACTTGAGCCGAAGGCAGACGCTTAACAAACTGAGCCACCCGGACTTCTCCACCTCCATTTTTCATATCAGCTCTTCAGATTCATTTTCTTAAAATATTATTTTGTATGAATCCTTAAATCATGCAGCAATATAAAGGAAGGGTTTTAAGGGCAGCTTCAGGGAATGGTTTAGATCACGGGTTCTGAAGTCAAACTGCCTGGAATCGTGCTCGGTCCTATGGCTTTCTAGCTGCGTGACTTTGCTGGGCAAGACACATAATCTCCAGGCCTCATTCTCCTTCTACAACACAGAGTTAGTAGTATTTATTCCACACTGCTGCTAGATGCTTTTAGAATGGTCAGTACATTTAAAAGGCTCAGAACAGCACCTAGGACTTGACACTCACAAATTATTTGTTAACAATACAAAATATGTTAACAGATAAGTGACTCCTATGAAAATGACACGAACCTCAAGAGGAATGCACCAATGCATTCTTGTGATGAAGAGACCACAGAGAGGATTTCTTCTACCTCCCACGATGCACAGATGAGGGAGGGAAAACTCAGGCAGACAGGCAAAGATACTTGCCCCAAGTGAGAGACCTAGCCAGCAACAGATTGAGAATCTGAATGCAGGTTTCTGACCTTTGATGGAGTACACCCAGGAACATAGCACCAGCTTCATCTGAGTCCAGGATCACTTTGTAAAAGTTACAGATGCTTTCTAATTTAGTCAATCAAAGTGACACAGCAAAAAGTGGGTTGTAAAAGAACAGCACAAGGATACATGCTCTGTGATCTGAATACACAGGGAGGGGTGTGCTAGGGACACCCGGGTCTGCTGATGTTAAACTCCTCTCCTATGCCTTCCAGCTCCCCACTGAACACTCTACTCAAGATTACAGAAGACATCACCTGCTATAGAGGACCCCCTAGGACTCCCTAATACAGTGTGCCCTGAAGGTCTTTCCCCATGCATCTATACTCGCCTGGCATTATTCTACCATCCCACAGTGACTACAGAATAGATTCATACATGCTACTTCACCTGCTGATGGACTTGCCCTATTTTTCTGTAATGCAAGAAATAAAGCAATGAGTATCCTTATGCATATATCTTTGTGCACTTGCGCAAGTACCTCTTTAGTACAGCTTCCTAGAACTGGATGTACAAACACATTAAGGGCAATTAGAGGTTAAGAAAGCGGGTGGAGGCAGAGCAGAAGGGGTGTGTCAGGCACATGCAAAGGCACTGCGGCTCATGGCAGGGGGGGAATATAATCAGTGCTGGGAGGCTAAAGTGGAGTGAGCTAGGGAGAACGTGTGTGTGTGCATGTGTAAATATGTTTTTCCGGGTAAAACTGTAGGGACAGGGATGGCAGATCCTCAGGGGCCTTCAAGCTGGGATAAACAACTTAACATTTATGCTGAAGGTCATGGGGAAGCAGGCAATGAGGGTAGGGGCATGACCAGTCTGTGAATTGGAAAGGTCCTCTTGGCTGTGTGCAGAGACAGAAGACAGGGTGAAGGAGCTGGGGCATGCAGCCCCCGGGCCTTGACAGGATCCAGGTGCAAGACTTACATGTTCCTATGTGTTTTCTAATCTCAGAGATTTCAAAAAACTGTCTAGGGTAACCGCTAATGATTGCTAATCTTATTTCACGTTGAAGACAGAGCCCGCCCTGCTGTTTGCTGACAGGGTCTCAGGAATATTCAGCTCTGCATCTGACCTTCATGCTTTTGTACCTTTTTGCAGGTTGAATCAACACTGCCGCATAACCTTCTCCAGGGAAGCCTTGAGCATTTCACTGTTTCTCAACTTTTATACTAGTTCAGCAGGTATAACCATGCTTTTTGTCTGGGGTGGGGGGTGGAGAAGCTGAGATCTGGCTCCCATGTGGGTAAGTAGCTGTCCCCAGGATCAGGGCCTCCTTGACATCCAGGGGGCCCATGTTCTCTGGTCTTGCCTGGGCCACCATCAGGAAACTGAGGCCAAAGATGGTAGACAGAAGTCTAAGTCTTGCACCAACCAGATACGAGGCCTTAGGGAAGTCTCCCATTTCTCAGTCTTTGTCTACTCCTCTCAGCAAACAGGGGGTTTGGTTCATAAAGTCTACAAGGGTCTTCCAGCCTTGTCCTCTAGGGGTTCAGGACATCAATGTCCTGCCGACCTTCACCCCCTTCTCTATGCTTGATCAACCCTGCCAGTGTTGCCTGGAGAAATTTTTGTGTGTGAGGATGAATTCCTCTCGGCTCCTACATGACTGTGGCTGGTGACCTGCCCTGATTTTATCTTTTTTTTTTTTTTTTTAAGATTTATTTATTTGAGAGAAAGAGAGTGACAACATGAGCAGGGGGAGGGGAGGGGAGAGTGAATCTCAAGTAGACTCCCCGCTGATCGCAGAGCATGATGAGGGGCCAGATCTCAGAACCTGGAGATCATGACCTGAGCCCAAACCAAGAGTCGGACCCTTCACCGACTGAGCCACCCAGACATCCCATCCCTCCCTGATTTTAAATTCAGACAAGGCACATTTGAATCTTAATCCTGCAATTTGCTTGGGTCAATTACCTAATTCTTAAATTTCAGTTTACTGATCTCCAAGATTTGCTGTTTGAATTTAATAATAATCATAATTTTGACAGCTCCTATTGAATGTTTAGTTGGTATGTATACCGCATTGAATAGTACCCACTCCCCACAAATTCATTTCCACCTGGAGGCCGTGAATGTGACCTTCGTGGGAAATACGGTCTTTGCAGATGCAATCCAGATGAATTCATACTGAATTATGGTGGGTCCTAAATCTAATATGACTGGTGTCCTTATAAGAAAAGGAAAATTTGGACAGACACACAGGGGAGACGGCTATGTGAAGACAGAGATTGGAGCAATACATCTACAAGCCAAGGAATGCTACAGATTGCCCGCAACACCCAGAAACTAGAAGGAGGTGAAGAAAGATTTCCCCCTAGAGCCTTCAGGGAGAGCATAGCTCTGCTGATACCTTGACTTCACACTTCTAGCCTGCAGAAGTGTGACTAAGTAAGTTCCTGCTCTTCTAAGCCACCAAGTATGTAATTTTGTTTTGGCAGCCCTGTGAAACATACAGGGTGCCTCACTGACTTTCACTTTGATAGTGGGTCAGATAGATAGTGTTCATCCCCATTCTACACAGGGGAAACTGAGGCTTGGATAGTTATTTGCTCATTGGTAAATGACATAGCTGAGATTCGAACTTGGGTCTAACTCAGAAGCCTCCATGCCTAACCACTATGCTAATACCCCACTTAGCACATGACTAGAATACACTCCATGGTACCTATTGCTATTAATTCTGTGATGCCTTTTCTGGCCAACCCCGTTTCCTGCTTTGTCTAGTCCTATACCTGCTGCCTATTTCTGATGTGGCATATTTTACACTGTATCATAATTTAAAAAAATATGTCTGTCTGTTTCCCTTAAGTGACTCTATATTCTCTGAAGACACAATTAGCAGGTTCATTTTTTTTTTTTCCGGTGCTGGATTATGGTACTTGCTTAGAAAATGTTTATTGAATGAATTGTCTGGCTTTTGAAATGAGTAAATGGTGGTCAGAGACAAAAACGAGTTCCCTTCTGAATTTGGGAGCCCTAGCTCTAGGTCAGCCTCATGCCCTCTGAACCTGAGTACATGAATTTAACATGAATCTCTCTCCTGGTGCCAAGGGAGCAGAAAACCTAGAGATGGCCATGCCCAGAGACCCACTCACAAGATTTCCACAAGCAGGGTGCTCCATGATCAGTATCGGTGGCAGGCCTTACACTGGTCAGTGGGCTAACTGTCCTCTAGACATGCTTCCTGCACCTATTGGCACTGGGGCGCAGAGACCAAGATGAATTTATCTTTTGAATGTGGACTGCCTTAAAAGAGTCCACACTATCCAAGCCCCAGTGGAGTCAGAGATAGAATACCACTGAAAGTAGAAATCCAGAGAATCATTTGATTTTTGTCACCAAAAAGCAAACTCATTGACCATTATTCACTTTAACTATGCTTGGATCTTGTTGGTGCCCTTTGGTTTTTCCACATCAGACCTTTAGTGTTTTTAGCTTATTTGCTCACACGTGGCAAACACGTATGTTTGGAGACCTCCGATCAAAGGTTGAATAAACGTCATGCTTCCCTGTCCACACTTTTACTTAGGAATAGATGTCCCCTAGTTTTTAGGTGGAGGTTATGTCCTCTTTGCTGCAGTTGGGGGTAGATCAAAGCTAACAATAGTTGTTGGGGAACAAAGCCACTTCCCTCCCACCCACTGTCATTCTCCACTGCCTCTCTCCTAATATGTAGAATGATATTAAATGCAGTCACAACACTATTGCAAGCTCCTCATAATTGTGAAGAAAGAAAGCCACTCTTTAATATCATATGACATGACTAATCTGGGTAGGCATTAATGTGAAATTTGACATCTAGAAGGGTGCCAGGATGGTAATGCTGATAGCCTTTTTCTGCCAATGAATGAGAGAAAAGCCTCTCGATATGACCTAATCAGGACACAGCAGGTCATCTTCTAGAACAAGCTCTGAAGACAGACTAACTCCACCATGGGCTTTGCACTGAACCTCATCTGTAAAT